AACATCTTTGTTGGTATGTGGTGCTGAGGATCGAACCCGGGCCGCACGCATGCCAGGCGAGCGCGCTACCACTTGAGCCACATCCCCAGCCCCAAATAATTTTTTTAATATGAAAATGATTTGGAATTACTAATGTAATTAAAATTTAGTGATTGAAACTTTATCCATCTCCCCTCAAAAACAGATGGAAAATAGGATGGAAAAAGAAGGTCATTGAACCTGGTGATCTCTCAGGATCTGTTCAGCTCTAAGTATTTCAAACATTTGGTTTTGGGTTATTTTTGGTCTAGAAGGTGGTGGAATTTCCCCTCATAAGTCAGTCTCTTCTGTGAGGGAGAAGTAGGAGAAGGGGAAATAAGTATTCTGGGGTTCCTCCATCAGCTTGCTTCCTTCCGCTGGTTCACATAGCTGGGGAAGGGGCAGTTTTTTTCTGAGTTCTGATGGGGTCCCAGTTGAGCTGAGGGTCCCCAAAGGTCAATTGCTGTCAGGCCTCCAGGTTCAAGGCAGAGTTCAAATGGGTACTGCTGGGCTTCCCAGCCCCATCCTGCCCCTTCTGCAACACAAAGTGTGGGAGCAGGTAAATGTCAATGCCATGCTGCTTCTCAGCATTTACTGTCTTCTGGAAATACCCACCTTATTTTCTTGTGCGGGTCCATCTCCCCCATCTCCACCCACCCCAGCCCCAAACTGGGGATCAAACCCAGGGCCTTGCACAAACTAGGCAAGTGCTCTAACTCAATCCATCAGGTTTAAGTGGAGTGGACCCCAACCCCAACTTCAGCTTATGACCCCAGTCTTGCCAATCGGAGATACCATGACTGGTCAGGCTGTGATCCAGTGTGGACAAGAGAACTAGTCTTGGGACCAGCTACAACTATAGGGGAATTGGCAAGTTCTCTCCACTGGGGACAGTTAGGACAGTGGCATCTGAGCCTGGAACTGCCACTCTCTGCTACCTCACGAGGTGACCCAGCATGGGAATGAAGCCAGTTCTGAGAAAATAAAATGAAGAGATGGTTCCTAATGACTTCCTCTGACAACTGAAAGCAGCCATGCCTGAAGCCCCTGAACTCTTCAATTACATGGCCCAATAAATTCCCCGCTTTGCTTTCCCAGGGTGAATTGGGTTTCTGTCACTCACAACTCAAAAGAATCTTGGCAAATACCTCCTCCTGCTGCTGCTGAAAAACTATCAACAACCATTGCTCATTCTCATAATAATAACCAAACTCCCTTCTCTGCCATGCCCTGGGGCAATCCCCCCTCAGATTTCCTCCCTTGATCCCCACCCCAAGCCTTAGTCCAATCCCCATGTCTCCAAATTCTCAGCTATCTGGGCAAGACCTGGACCATCCTTAGATAACTTGGTGGTGTCTGAAGAGCATTTAAGCCTTGAAATTGGTCATTAGTATTCCCTGAAATTTCTGCCTTATTCCTGGAGGGAGAAGGTGGTGCTTAGGTTGATGGGGCTTTACAAGCACCACAGGAGCTACATTTCTTGGCAGGGAATCAGAGCTCTTCTCTGCATGCGCATCCCCCATTTACCCCCCTTCAGGGCCAGGAGTGAGCATGTGTTAATGTATCAGGAAAGTTCCTGCCCTCACTGGCTTCAAAATGCCCATCACCGCTGGGCACAGTGGTGCACACCTATAATCCCAGTGATTCTGGAGGCTGACTCAGGAGGTTCACAAGTTCAAAGCCAGCTGCAGCAACTTAGAGAGTCCTTGTCCCAAATTAATAGAAAGGGCTCGGGATGTAGCTCATTGGTAAAGTGTCCCTGGGTGAAATCCCTAGTTCCAGCCAGGCATGGTGGTGCACATTTATAATCCCAATGGCTCAGGAGGCGGAGGCAGGGGGATCATGAGTTCAAAGCCAGCCTCAGCAACTTAAGTGAGGCCCTAAACAACTCAGGGAGACCTTGTCTTTAAATAAAATATTTAAAAAGGGCTAAGAATATGACTCAGTAGTTAAGTGCCTCTGGGTTTAATTCTTGGTAAAAAAAAAAAAAAACCCAAAACAAAAAACCCTAGTACCTCCCCCAACAAAACAACAGCAACATCACTCAGACAGACAGACAGACACACACACACAAATTCCCCATCACTAGGAAGTTTATGTGTTCCTGGATTATGTGTCCCCAATAAAAACCTTTAAGAACACAGGCTGGGGGTGTAGCAGAGTGGTAGAGTGCTTGCCTAGTATGCAGAAGGCCTTGGGTTCAAGCCCCAGCATAATATAAATAAACAACCCAGAGGGTCCTTACCTCCCAACATTCTTCTGAGGCCTGGAAGAGCTGAGAATAAGCTTCAGCAATGACTGCAGCCCTGAAGAGCAGAGGGAGGCTCTCAGGAGATCCTCCTCTGATGACCCCTCCCCCACCCCACCCCAACTCACTTGCAGTGCAGTCCTCCCCCAGGAGGCAAATCCAGGATGTCCTCCGAGGCCAGAGTCCTGAAAACTGTGTTCAGACTGGGGGGCTCCTGAGCAGAGGCACACAGCTCTGAGAAGAGCTAAGGGTTATGGAGAGCCCCTGCTTGCCAATGCCCCTCCCATGGGGCGCTGGGTGCCTGCTCACCAGCTACTCTGCGGCCCAGGGCTGTATCCAGCGCATGCTCCCTCCTGATGGCCTCCTCACAAGCCCTGGGAGCCCCTGGGAAGCAAACCACGATGCAGGTCATGTTGTCCAGGCTGCCCTGGATAAAGTGGAGAAAAGGACACCGGTAGCATAGGGTTGAAGGCTACTGTGCAGAGTTTCAAGTCTTTAGAAGTACACCAACAACCCCAAAGTTGAAGTCCTCCTCAGTCTAGTTATGCCTATGCCTCTCAAGTCTCACCCATCTGCCAGTCAAAACCAAGCCTTCTCCCACTTACACCAATTTCTCCCTGTCCTAGCCCCACCCTACTAAAAGAGAACCACACCTTTTATATGAAGTTCTTCAATCTTTTTTCCTTAATATTAATTTTTTCAGTTTTAGGTGGACACAATATCTTTATTTTATTCTTATGTGGTGCTGAGAATCGAACCCAGTGCCTCATGCATGCTAGGTGAGCATGCTACCACTTGAGCCACATCCCCAGCCCCTCGTGTTTCTTAACTCCCTCCCTCTTACTTGTCTAGCACTACTCTCCCTTTGTGCCCTTTTTGTTGTTTGTTTGTTTTTGTTGTTGTATTGGTACTGGGGATTAGAGGCGCCTAACCACTGAGCCACATCCCCAACCCTTTTTATTTTTTATTTAGAGACAGGGCTCAGTTGCTTAGGGCTGGATAAATTGCCGAGTCTGACTTGGAACTTGTGATCCTTCTGCCTCAACTTCCTAAGCATCTGGGATTACAGGTTTGTGCCACCATGCCCGGCTCCCTTTGTATCTTAAACCATACCACAGGCTCTCCCCTCTCCGTATTTTGGCCCTGCGCATTCCAGCATACACACCCTCTAGTTGTTCCCCAACCCCTGGTCTATTAAAATCCCTTCTCCCACAAATGCTGCAGATCTCCCCCATGTTCCAAGCCTCAGTGATACTATGCCCTGCCCCCAGGACCTTGCACAGACACGTGTCCAACAGCTGCGCGCAGAGAAGCTCTGGGGCCAGGTCCAAACGGAGGCGCAATGCCACCAGTCCCACCAGCGCAGCACCAGACATAACGTCCCACACGCCGTCAGAGGCCAGGAGCACGAATTCGTCCTCAGTGTGGCGTGCCAGGGCAGCCACTTCAGGCTCCGCGGAAATTAGCTGCAGTTCGGGGGGCCTCCCCGGAGCCGCTTTGTAAGCAAAATCGCCTAGTGCTCGAGACACTGCCAGAGAGCCCTCGACGCGACGGCGACGGATGGTGCCGCCCGCGTGGTAGATGCGCTCGCGTTCCCGCAGCCGGAGGGGCCGGTGGTCTTGGGTGCTGAAGGCCACGGCGCCGGCGCGGCTCAGCACCGCGCGCGAGTCACCGCAGTGCGCCAGGTATAGAAAGCGCGGGGAGACCAGCAACACGACCGCAGTGGAGCCGCCGGGTTCGCCACGGGGCCAGAGCGAGCGGAGCCGCTCGTCGGCATTCAAGAAGGCTCGGCGCAGCGCCTGGCTCACGCCCTCGGGTTCGCTAGGCGCTGGGCCTAGCTCTTCGAGCACGTGGCCTGGCAGGTGGCGCGCGCCGAAGCGGGCAACTCGCGCCCCTCCGTGGCCGTCGAGGATAGCGAAGAAAGCCCAGCCAGGCGGCAGCCCAGGTAAGGAGAGCCAAGCGCAGTGCGCGTCCTCCATGTGCGTTCGCCAACCCTGCGCTGCGCTGGCTCCGAAGCGCAGGCCGGACGATGCTGCCACACCCCCGTGTGGCCTCTGGGAGCATCGCGGCGCAGCCAGGAGAGACTGAGGCCCTTGGGCGCCAGCTTCCTCTTCCTTCTCTGCCTCTTCATCCTTGCGAGTCGGCCAGAGGAGACACTCCAGCAGACCTGCAAGGGCCGCCATCTCTTATCAGGAAGGCTTCACCTTCAGCACCTGACCCGCCCCCCCCCCAACACACTGTTAATCCCTCGCTGTGAGATTTGAAACCAAGTAAATCTCTTTCCTACCCCTTGACCTGCACCCAAGCCGGATCACTAAAAGAAATTCCATTCCTGGGACTACTTTCTCCCGCACCTCCAAAGTGGGGTTTGGGCTCTGGATCCGAAAAAAAAAAAAAAAAAGTGATAGCAGCACACTATTACACAGCACCTGCCATATTCGTTACACTATTATACGTCAAGAAGAGGAAACTGAATCAGAAAATGTTCATCGGTGTCACAGAGAAATTAGCTCTAGAATCTGTGTTTTCGTGGGCTTCAAATCCCAGCCCTGTTCAATCCAAGCTCCGCCCACCTCAGTGGTCCCGCCTCCAGCAAAACCTTTAAGTACAATATTTTTCGGACTGCTTCCCTTCTGGACCCTTTTCCAGGGGTCCCCAGTTGCTTTAACTTCCAGGTCCTGCCATCAATTCAAGCCCACAGCCTGAAGTCTTCCAATTTTCGCAGTCCTGCCCCAAGACCTGTGCACAGTTCAATCCCCAGTACTGGAAGAAAAAAAGAAAGAGAGAGAAATTAATTTTCGCAGTCCTGGCATCGCCTCTAGCTCCTCAACTTCAGCCCACCCCTAAATTCCCGCTGGTCGAAACTGGCCCCTTCTCTCCAGGTTATGGCCACTCTCTGGTGCCTAGTCCCTCTAGGCCACGCCTCTAGCTGTGAACCCGCCCAATTTTTTGAATAATCCTACAGGCTGGTGAGCTCCACCGGTTGCCTGGAAAGTTTCAGAGTACTTTCTTCCCGCCCTCTTTCTCATTCCCTCTGCAAACCTAGGATCGGAGCATATCTCCGAGCGCTAGATTCTTTCTTCCCACTCTTCAGTGCCACCTCTAGACCCGCTCCAACCAACTCTGGGACCCACGCCCCGTCCTTTTCGCTTGAGCATTCTTTCGGGCCCCTCACCCAGTCCCAGGCTCTGTCCTCTTCCCCTGAAGGCTGAGCCCACTTCCACACAGACCCCGCCCCTCAGGCCTGCCATCTAACCTCCTAAGCCCGCCCCTCTAGTAAAGAGGCCTCGCCCTCTCCCGCGTTCGTCGGTGTCTCCCCGCCCCCTCGCCCTCCCTCCGGTTCCGCCCCGCGGGTCCTCTGGCCCCGCCCCCGGTCCCGCGCTGCAGTGCCTTCCCCGCCGCGGCTCCGCCCGCCCTCGCCAAGCCGAGCAGAGGGCGGCGGCGGCGGCGGCTGCTGGAGCAGCCCGGGAGGAGGAGGCGGCGAGGATGGCGGCGGTGGCGTGGGCGCGGCGGAGATGAGCGCCCGCGGCCCCGGGCCCAGGGCGGCGCTGCCGGAGTGGGCTGGGGTCCCGATGCAGGCCCGAGGGGGGCCATGGGGCAGGTCCTGCCGGTCTTCGCCCACTGCAGTGAGTAGGGAGGCTGTGGCCTGTTGTGGGTCTCAGAGGCCCGAGTGGGGTCCTCCTGATATCCCCTGGGCGCTGAGCCGCAGGAGAGCCGGGATGGAGGGAGGAGACGAAGGAGACAAAGGAAGCTCTCCCCTCCCCCCCTGCGCTCTGGCAGCCGCGGGGGCAGCCTGACCTGGAGAACCCGGGTGAAACAGGGAGGAGATGGGGACAGTGGACCCCGGCGCACAGGGCGCTGGGATGTGTCGCCCCGCCCAACCTCCGGATGAGGAGGTGCGCGGGGAGCTGTCCCCGGGCTCTGGTGCTGGCCGCAGCTGGCGGGGAGGGGGTTGAATAGAGGGGCAGAGCCAGGATGGAGAAGAGAGGTATGACTTCCCATTACCCACCCTCTTAGTCTACCCGAGAAGCAGCCCTAATCTAGCCCAAATTGTCCAATCCCCTGTCTCTGGAAAAGCCATCCCTGGGTTAGTGCTAGGACTCTTGGGTGTTCAGCAGGCTTTTCCACTCATCAGTGGTAATCCTGGGGAAGACCCACTCAGCTCCAGGCCTCTGATTCTCCAGCCGAAGTCGCGGAGTGGGGGCAGGGGGCGTCCTGTTTCAATTTCCAAACCTTATGTGCAGACATCACCTGTGTGCAGAGCCCCAACCGAGTTCTTAGGGGCTGGATTCCCAGTTGAAAATGCTTGGTCTGATCTTCCTGATCTCTTAAGTCCAGACCTCTAGCAGTCCGTATTTACCGTCCTCTGTCCCACACAGAGAGGTTCTGACAGCTGGGGATGGCAACATTCTCAGATCTAGCCACTTGCATGTCTGGAGTGTCCAGATGCCCCAATTCTAAGAATTTCAGAGTCTCATCCCAACATTCTAAGATCTTGTTCTTATCTCGCATTATAAAGTGAGTGCCTGCTGTTTGGTCTATTCCCCACCCCACCCCTGCTAGTCTTCCTGTCATCTCCTGCCCTTTCTCCCCCTCACTTTGCTCCATTTACACTGCTCCACTCACCATATATGCTAAGCATAGTGCCTGCCTCAGGGACTTTGCACTAGCTTTCCCCTCTGCCTGGAAAGCTCTTCCTAGAGGTCCTCATGGCTTCCTTACTTCATTCAGGCCTCTGTTCAAATATCATCTTAACAGAGAAGGTTTCAGGACCATCTTATCTGGCACCACCATCTTATTCAGCACCACCTCTCCTTCTCTCCTATTATCCTGATTATTTTTCTTCACATACTTATTAAGACCCTTTGTCATATATTTACTTATGTATTTTCTGCCTCTCCCATAGGATGTAATCTCTATGAGGGCAGGACTTTTGTTTTGCTCATAGGTGTATTCCCAGGGCCTAGAAGAGTGCCTGGCACATAGCAGGCACTCAGTAAATGGTTGTTTAAAGAGTAAATTGAAACCTCCCAAGATCCTTAAGTTGAAGATTCTAAGATTAAGATTCCTGGATAGGAACTTACTTGTTAGACTCTGAGCCTCTGACAGCAGTGATGCTAAGATTTTGCAGTCTATATGCAGAATGTCCTGATCCTGTGGCTCAAAATATTCTAAGATTCCTTAATTCAGATCATCCTAGATTCCAGGACTGGCACTTCTGTGATTCAGAGTTTATAAGCTTCTTAAGAGTCTTGATTTCTTTTCTTCTTGCAGAAGAAGCTCCATCTACAGCCTCTTCTACCCCTGATTCCACAGAAGGTAAGTGGATGGGGGGATATGAGGGTGGGAACTGAAAGGGGCACCTGTGTAGGTCAGGATTCTGCTCACAGCCCTTCTTTGCCCAACAGGAGGAAACGACGACTCAGATTTTCGGGAGCTGCACACAGCCCGGGAATTCTCAGAGGAGGAGGAGGAGGAGACCACATCCCAAGACTGGGGTACCCCCCGGGAGCTGACCTTCTCCTACATCGCCTTCGATGGTGTGGTGGGCTCTGGGGGCCGTAGAGATTCAGCTGCCCGCCGCCCGCGGCCTCAGGGCCGTTCAGTCTCAGAACCCCGAGACCTGCCCCCTCAGCCCGGCCTAGGAGACAGCTTGGAGAGCATACCCAGCCTGAGCCAGTCCCCAGAGCCTGGACGCCGGGGTGATCCTGACACCATACCTCCTGCTGGACGCCCTCTGGAGGATCTGAGGCTCCGGCTGGACCAACTGGGCTGGGCTGCCAGGGGAGTGGGATCTGGGGAGGACTCTGCCACCAGCAGCTCCACCCCACTGGAAGACGAGGAACCTGATGGATTGGAGGAGGGAGCGGCTAAGGAAGGTAAGATGTCCAAGTTGGACCTAAGCCAAGAGGGGTGGGTGGTCTCTTGGGGCACCTCCAAGGAGAATACTCACGACCTTCTCTCTCTACTGCGCCAGAACTGGACCTACCACGTGGATTTTCTCAGTCCTCGCCACCTGAGGTCTTGACCCCCCAGCCCAGCCCCAGCTGTAGGACACCTGAGACTGGCACTCCATCCCAACCAGGATCCCCAGATTCCAACTCTGGGCCTGGTGAGCCCTCGCTGGCCGAGGAAGAGGAGCCATGGGGACCACTGGAGCCGGAGCCAGTCTTGGGACAGTGTCTCCATAGCAGGAATCAGTCAGAATTCACACTGCAGCCACACATTCTAGGTAAGCAGTGTGTGAGCAGATGCTCCTTTGGACTACAGCAGGCTAAATGTGGGAGGGCTGGAAGTTAAAGGGGCCAACCTGGCAAAGGAACACAGGACAGTGGGGAAATTAGCAAAATTTCCCCTTAGCTGAGATTACCATTGGCTCCTTTTATGTAGTCACCCTCCCATTCCAGAAGTCAGCCCTCCTTCAAGCATTAGGACTGACTGCTAAAAATGAATCCTCCCTCTTTTGGACTCCCTACATGCCGATTGTGGACATGCCAAATCTCTGAAAATATAGGCTTTCTCCTGTATGCAATTATAGGATTTTTTTTTTTTTTTCAAACCAGGGATGAACCCAGCGGTGCTTAACACTGAGCCACATCCCCAGCCCGTTTAATTTTTTATTTTGAAACAGAGTATTGCCAAGTTGCTCAGGGATTTGCTAAAGTACTGAGGCTGACTTTGAACTTGTGATCCTCCTGCCTCAGCCTCCCAAACTGCTGACATTACAGGCAGGTGCCACCGCGCCCGGCTATGATATTTTTATAAGTAAATTCTACTCCTTTTAAAATTTTTCTCTTCCCTGACCACGTCTATTGACCCATTGTAAATAGACCCAGCCTTACTTTTAAACGTACTCTGCCTCCAGGAACCGCCATAGGTGGGTTGTAGACATCACTGTTCTCCGCTGTTTACAAAGAGTTCCAATTTTGGAATTGGCCCCACCTCTATGGACAGCCATTGGCTGCGTACACAGGGGCTCCGCCCCTCTACTCCCTCCCTGCGGGTTCCACAAGTGGGCAAAATTTCTGAGAAGCAGTGGTGTCTGCAGCCTCTCCCTTAGAGTCAAGATGGGGAGTAAAGGTGGGTTTATGGGGCAGCCTGGGACTGGGGTTGGGGGACAGCGGAGAGGGTACAGATGTGCCCTGATCTCGCCCCAATCTGGGGCAAGTTTCCTATTGGTCGGGGATTCCCCGGCACTGCAAGCTGGGGCTGGGGGGAGTCAGGGGGAGTCTAGGGAGGGCTTGGAGGGCTTTTGGGGTCCCCCTCTCCTCCAAGCCAGGGCTTTGAGGCTTGGGAGCAACAAGGTCCCCTCCCCCAGCTTCAGGCCCAGGCGGTGCTGTCACTCAGGGATTGGACAAGCCAGCACAGCTGCAAGTGCGAGGCCCCCTCCCCCCAGCATGCCTAAACTTAGGCCCCGCCTCAGGCGACCCTGCCCCTCCCCCACCTACTGGCCTGGACTTTGAGGAACCTGCCTGGGAGTGCTTTGCACTTGGGAGTGGGGGTCCTTTCCTATTTGGAAGTAAATGCCAGGATGGGTATAGGGAGAATACCGAAGTGAGAGGGCTGGTGTGGGGGTGGGATGGGTCAGTTTGATTTGGAGTGAGGGTGAGAGGATGGGGAGGGTCTGGAGGGAACTAGAAGACCACTGAGCTCACCGTTTGGGGCTGAAGTGAGACTGGGTTATTGGGAGGATGGTAGATGACAGTTGAAACCTTGGAGCCTGGAAGTCACCTCTCAGGGCTCAGGCAAGGCTTGAGAGGTGAGTTAGCATCTCTGAAAGGGGTCAGAAATTTGAATTAGGGCTTAGAAAGGAGCACGGTATTATGAATATATTGAAGACTTAGGAAAACGTGTTGGTAAGACTGTCAAGGAGTTGTCACTACACTGTCAGGCCGGCAAAAAAAACCAGGTTGTTGAAAAAGAACAACCTCCGTTGCAGGGCAGGATGTTGGGAAAAGATCACTCTTATGTTGCTCTTGGAAATAAGACTTGTAAGTCTTGCTGGTAAGCCACCTGACAAAATTCATGACATTAAAAAATACACAGCTGGTCCACACAGCAGTGCCACCCCTGGGGGTCTATCTCAGAAATAGAAGCTCCAGGAGGTAAGAATATCTGTAGAAGAAGGGTGCTCGCCTCACTGTTGGGGTCAAGGGGAGGAGGGGTTAGGAAACAGAGTGAAAGACCCTGAGATAAGTATAGGATTCAGCAGAATGAAATGACTGAGGTGTTGAGATGGAGGTGCTTGCATGTAATCCTGGCCAC